CGGAGATCGTGCGTGTCGAGTGCGCGAAATGCAGGCGAGAGTGCGATGTGCCGGGTGCCCGCGCAACCCTGGGGAGCTGGAAGCTGAGAACTGGCGACGTGGTGGTGCGAGAGTAGTACGCGGGTAGTACAACTTGAGGGCGTGGAGTATCTGGGGAGCTGGAAGCTGAGAACTGGCGACTGCGTAGTACAACTTTAGTACGCGGAGTAATCTGTGGAGCTGGAAGCTGAGAAGTGGCGACTTGGTAGTACAACTTTAGTGCGCAGAGTAGCTGGGGAGTGGGAAGATGAGAACTGGTGAGTGGGTAGTAGCTGAGAACTGGCGACTTTGTAGTACAACTTAAGTAGTACGCGGAGTAGCGGAGGAGCTGGAAGATGAGAAGTGGCGACGTGGTTGTTCAGATGGCAAAGCCAGCACGCTGGCTGCCATCATAGTTGAAGTTGGTATGAGCCAGCACGCTGGCTACCATCATAGTTGAAGTGGGTAAGCCAGCACGCTGGCTGCCATTGTCCAGATGGCAAAGCCAGCACGCTGGCTACCATCATAGTTGAAGTGGGTAAGCCAGCACGCTGGCTGCCATTGTTCAGATGGCAAAGCCAGCACGCTGGCTACCATCATAGTTGAAGTGGGTATGAGCCAGCACGCTGGCTACCATCATAGTTGAAGTGGGTAAGCCAGCATGCTGGCTGCCATTGTCCAGATGGCAAAGCCAGCACGCTGGCTACCATCATAGTTGAAGTGGGTAAGCCAGCACGCTGACTGCCATTGTTCAGATGGCAAAGCCAGCACGCTGGCTACCATCATAGTTGAAGTGGGTAAGCCAGCACGCTGGCTGCCATTGTTCAGATGGCAAAGCCAGCACGCTGGCTGCCATCATAGTTGAAGTGGGTATGAGCCAGCACGCTGGCTACCATCATAGTTGAAGTGGGTAAGCCAGCACGCTGGCTGCCATTGCCCACATGGCAAAGCCAGCACGCTGGCTGCCATCATAGTTGCAGTGGGTATGAGCCAGCACGCTGGCTACCATCCTAATTGAAGTGGGTAAGCCAGCACGCTGGCTGCCATCATAGTTGAAGTGGGTAAGCCAGCACGCTGGCTGCCATTGTCCAGATGGTAAAGCCAGCACGCTGGCTGCCATCATAGTTGAAGTGGGTAAGCCAGCACGCTGGCTGCCATTGTCCTCTTACCAGCAGCCCAAATGCTCACGACGATGAGCTGGGCTGTCACCGCTTGGCCGCCGGTGGGGGGTTTGGGAGGCCGCATCGCACACAAACACCCACACACTCCCTCAACTTCCACGAACACACACATACGCAGACTCGTTTCCACACGGACATAGACACACGCACAGAAACCCACAGACTACCTCAACTCACTCGACTTAACACTTCTCACTACACACTTACCGGATAACTCGCACTCTGATTTCCTACGTGATGAAAAATGCTTTCGGGCCACTCGTCGTCTAGTTTTTTTTTGTGGTTCGATGAAACGGGTCGCGCAAATCGAGAAGTGTACACTGGGTGCGCAGACCACTTGCCACCACGGCACAATGTTTGGCTCAAGAAAACAGACCACTTTTTGAGACGCATGGGTTATGAGCCCAAGCGGTTTCGGACCATTTTCAACACTAAGCAGTGTGGTTTTCGCGCTTCCACAATGGGTATTTTCATGGACCTGCCTATTTTCATGTCCTTTCCGTGGCTGTTTTCAAGACGAGCTTGGGGGGGTTCCGTGGCTGGTCTCTGAGGGTCACCACCTCACCTGGACTGTTGATGTGGAGGTCTCCCTAACCTCCATGGATAGCACCCCTTTGTGACTGCTGGAGTCTATATGTTCTTAAAGGACACTGGCCCTCCCACCACCTGGTCTGTCAAAGGCGAGGCAGCATAGATCTGTGTGGTTGAGGGTATGCTCTTGGAGAGGTGGTTGAGTTGAAAGAAAGACACGGGCTGAGCTGGATGCGGCAGGTGCACATTTTTTTTGATTTCTTTTTGGTGCCCCCTTGAAGCTCATCCATGTCCAATGTGTCAAAGGATTGTACGTGTTGCTTACAGCAAGCTTTCAAACAAAGAACTTGGTCTTTCGCTCACCATTCCCCTGACACCACGGAGATCGGGTGGTGTATAGACACCTAACTGTGTGTTTACCCTCCAACAACCCAAACGAATACGCGCAGTGTCGCAAATAGGCGAGCTGAACCCTGCACTGGTGCTGGGGCTGGTGCTCGGCAACGTGGTGAATCCCGGCCTCTCGGCGCGCGGATCGACCGGCAGCTCCACCGGCGGGTTCTTCCGAGAAACCGGTCATGGTTGGCCTGACCCAAAGGTGCAGACCGCTGGATATTGCTGGCTCGCTTGGAAGGAGACAGAACGGAACTGTTCTGAGGCAAGGCTGTTTTGTTTTGCTCACTTCCATGTGTGCGTTCACTTGGCACTTGCTATCACCTGCCCTTTTGCGGACGAAGTTGCTGACCAAGTTCTGGTACTCATTTGTCAGGGCACAAAACAGCTGGGAGGATGAAGATGAGCATTTGTTGGCCAAGGTTGTCCAACAGTTAGCGAACCCCAAGCACAAAGAACACACAAATGCGGACTATTGATCTCTTTGTGAAGGATTCACATCTTAGTTCCAGATACCAGAGCCCTCCAACAGGCTGTTTGAAGACCCTAACAGGTGGTTTCCGGGGGATCTGGCTGTTTGAAGACCCTAACAGGTGGTTTCTGGGGGATCTGTTGTCACCAGGAAGCACCTGTTGGAGGGTCCAGGTATATATATATATATATATACAGTACAGTAAACCTCTTCAGAAAAACTTTTGGGTAGTTCCAGGGTTCCACTATCTAAGGATTCTAGTTGAACCAACCATTCACCCAATCACTCCCCACTGGTGGTGCTGGGCATTTTGTTGCCCATCAAAGCGCGATCTGCGCTCTAAGGCAAGGGCGGTCACTTGGCAGGAGGTGAGTCGATGGTCATTGATGCTGTGGGGTGTGGAGTTCGGCTTCCGTGTGGTCAGTTGCTTGGGTCCCTCCCACGAAGAAACTCTCCGTTTCTGTGAGCACATCTGTGAACACCTGGAAACTGGTGGTGATGTTCTTTTGCCCAAGGGAGAGGGTCTGTCAGAGTCCAAGCCATTGAGTGGCACGCATGACCTGTCGCGTTCACGCGACGGTCGCGAGTCCCACGTCCGCTCCCGTGAATCGGGACACAACAGGACCTTGTTGCTGCCTTTGTTGCACAAAAGGAACCGTGGAGGGTAAAGATGCGCACCATCTGAAAATAATTGAATAATCCATGACATCTATTCAGCTATGGCAGCTGGGATCAGATCCCTTCCCATCCACAGGACAGAAGGACACCAAAGATCTCTTTGTTTCAAGCCCAGCCAGGCCCAGCCACCATTGATTTCAATGGTCCGAATCCCGAACCACCCGCCACAATTTGGGGCGGATTGGACACGCCATGATCGCTCCGGAACCCCCCCCACGTTTGGGCTCGAACGGAACCACGGAACGACGCCGGAAAGGGTCGACGCCGAGGGGTGGGCGCGCCGGCGGCCTGGCTCGTGCCCTGGACGGCAAGCGGGTGGCATCGGCTGTGTTCGTTCCTGCCCAGAGTGAGTTCACCTATAGGACTGGTCTTCGGATTGGTCCCATGGTCTTCGTGCCAAAATTGGAGATCCTGCCATGGGCGCCTCGAGGTGACCGGTGAACCGTACGCGGAAGCCCGTGCGACCTCTGGAACCCCTTTGTGGAACCGACCGAAACCAGAACCGACACCAAGAGGTGCCTATCCCAAAGCACTCCATGTACATTGGGGTGGTTGGGGGGTCTTTCTGGGGCGGCAGTCCTATGGCAGTTGTGGCCACACAGATCCGTTGCTGGAGCCTCACAACCGTCCCGCCACCCCCCCCCCACGCGGTCTCGGGTCCTTCCCGGTCCAACCCTTCCGCCCTGCCGTCCCGGGACCCTCGGTTGGACGCTCCACCCGCTTCCGGTCCGGGACGCTCCACCGTGGGGGGATCGGGTGGGTGGCACCGCGTCGCAGGTGCTTCTGGTCTGCGAGTTCCTGGGCGCCTACGTGTCCTCGGTGATCTTCCGCATCACCCACCGATTGGAGCTCATGCTCGCTGGCGGAGAGGGGGACGGCGGTCGAAATGAATTGACCCGGAGATGTCAAGGGGCAGTGAAGATGCCCTGGAATGATGGCTTTCGTGGGGGCTGTTCTTTTTAAAACACGGGCCAAGTGGGTGCAATGTGAGGGATTTCAGAATCTGACCGGTCATTCTTGGGTCGGCTAGTTGCTTGATGTTACTTGTAATTCCCATAGTGAACAGACAGGACGCATCAGGACGCCCGACAAAACCATTCCCTTCAGTGAACCACGCGTTTGGAGTCACTAGCGCAGCGCTCCTTCAAGTTTCCATTGTAACGAGGCACCAGTCTTTTTTGGTACCTCGTACAATGGACCTTTCATGACATATCCTTGCAAGAGCCTGCTGAAATGAACCGTGCATGGGAAGAGCAGGAACGGTATAATTCCTTTTACCGGAGAACTGGGTGGTCAAAGATTTGGATGCCATGTATAAACGTAAACCAGACTTTCCAATGGGACTGGCATAAGTACATGGGGTGGTGGGGCGGTGAATTGTCCCGGGGGCGCGGCCTGGATCCTCTTCCAGTACCACAAATACGTCGTGTGGCTGGGTAAAGGTGTCTGGTCCTTCCACGGGGTAACAGTATCTTTTCGGTTGATCTCTTCTAGGACCCACGGTCGGGGTGGTTAATGGACACCCCTTAACCTCTAAGGGGCTATCAATAGACACCCCTTAGGGTGTCCTGGTTTGGTTTATATTTTGACATACTGTATGTTCGTTTGATCCTCCGCTCAGACTCAACGCTGACAGTGTCGACTCGCAAACATGGAGTTCAGCTGGTCACACGGTCGAGTTCAGCGGTTGATTTGCCTGGAGTGTGACCAGCCAAGACTCAGATGGCATGTTTGGTTACAGGTCAAAACGGTACTCCGAACGCTTCGGACCTCACAGGACGAACGCTTCGTCACCAAACCGGGTTCACCGAGCGAACGAAGGAACGAGTGAACGAGCGAAGGCGTGAACGCGTGGCACGGTCGTGCGTTTGGGGGGTAGATGCCCCACACGACCAAAAACCTGAGGGTCCGTTCCTGCTAGAATGGCTAGCATACTTTTCCTTGTAAACGTATAAAGGATTCTGAAATTCCCTTTCAGGTCCCCTGAAGATCATTTTTTGTTTTGGATATAGTTTTTGACTTCCAGGCAGGCCCTCTCTGCGTGGTGAGGCCCGATGACGACGAGGACGACGTGAAGGGCTTGAGCAAGGCACGGTGGCCGTGTGTCTGAACACGAACCAGGACCCAACGAGGGTTCCACTTCTCATAGAGCTGTTGGAAGTGACGGACAGGAAATCCATCCTTCGGTGAAGCACACAGACTTCCTGCACTGTAGAATCCTGTAGTTGTGCAAAGGCTGAGAAGCTATGAATGTTGGAGGGAAGTCCGATGTTTAGTAGCGCAAGGGGGACAAGCCTGTAGCAGCCGATGGATGTGCCATTGTACCCATTAAGCACGAGAAGGGCATGGACAACAGACACCCTCACCTTGCATTGCCATGTCCCTTTGACAGCACTTCATGTTCAAAAACTCTCATGTCTCCCAAACCTTGCAAGGATGCTGAACTTCTGTGATTCGGGTCTGGTGGTGGTTCCAATCTCGTTCGCTCCTGGAGAGGTCAGGTCCGAACGCAAGCCCTTCCTGACGATGACGACACGTCACACGTCACGCGTCTCTTCGACCGACCTTGTGGGCCGAAGGACACGTCACACGGCCCCGACGCTGCGAGCTCCGAGCCTCCGTGCCCCGGCGCAGGCAGACGTGGAAGCGCCCGTGCCCGCCAGCAAGGCTGCAGCGCTGGGGGGCCCGGACCGAGCTCGGACGGTGTGGTTTGGGACGGCCAGCGGAAAAACGCCCTCCGGGCGTGCGGAGTGCTGCCACTGCCAGCCGCCCGGGCGTTACTGGGTGTCTTCAGGTTGAGTTCAGACGACTCCTTCCACCGACTCCTGGGGGTCTTGGTGTTGGGCGGCGATGCCGACACTTCGGCAGCGGGGGATGGAGCTGTGCCAGCCAGGCCACCGAAAAAACGATGACTCCCATCCTATTTCCATGTCTGGCGATTTGCAGCCATCCACAGACATACGGAAGGTCGTCCATGTCCCAACTTCCGGCTTCTTCACTTGGCCACCGGCGGGGAGTGAAGTTCCATCCCTTTTTTCCATCCGGACGAGCCAACGATCCCCTCCGTGGCTCGAGTCCGAGGCGCCCGGCCTCGTGAGCCGCCGGATGAGCACTTCCAGCTATGAACCGGACCGGCCATGCACAGCGCTCCGCGCACCGCGCGCGGTGTGGATCATCGGCCGCGAAGAAGGCGAAAAAGGGGGCAGGCCGCCCAGGATGGGTGGGAGCTTCTTCGAGAAGACGGAAGACGGTTTGGTTCTCTTCGGGATCTCTTCGGAACTTCTTGCAACTTCTGGGCACCTCTTTTGGAGTGCAAGAGACTCAAAGGGATGTCATGACCGTCTTTCGACCAGGTCCTTGGATGCTCCAGATCCGTGGTGTTTCGCACCGGGGACCAGTCCAACCCGAGGGTTTCTTTTGCAGTTTGATCCACTCTTTTCCTTTAAGGCCCTGTAGGGATCCAAGTACCTTCTCAGCAGGTGAGGACGGAGACACCGCTATGTAGGTTTGGAGTGTCCAGTCGTACCTTCTGAGGTTCGGTAAGGTACTTGGATCCCTAGGGAGGCTTGATCCACTCTTTTCTTTTGGCCAGGTTTCAGGGCACCAACCCGTGTCTTTCGCTTCAAACGGGCAGCGCGCCCTACACCTTGGGTCCCATCGACCCTCCAGACCGACCCGCTGCGGGCGCCGTGCGGACGGCACGGCCCCGGCGCGGCACCGGCCCGAACCGTCCGAAACGGGTGGGCCATCGGACGGACGAAACCACATGGACGTGGAAGTCGGAAGAAGGGTTTGAGAGGGCCCAACTCTAGAATTCCGATCCCGGGTTTTGGTGGTTCGGGTCCGGTCTGCAAACTGGAGAGCCCGGACTCGGATTCGTCTCGGGTAGAAGGAAGACTCCGTCTTCCACAAACAGGGGCTGCACTCCACTTCCATGGTTCGTGAGTGAGAGCGTATACGCCTTCTTTGACAGCGACAACATCGATGCGGAACACGCATGAAGCCCCGCAGAAGTCACGCGCCTCACTCCCTCCAAATCCTGACACCCGCGGCGAGAGTGACTCGCCGGTGGAACCGGTTCCATGCGCCATGCGCTGTGGCTCAAAGCAGATCTCGGGTAGAGTTGATACGATTTCACCAAGGTGACCAGTGACAGCTCTGTGTGATTTTGGTTTGGGCATCCTCTCAATTCTGGAGCGCAGCTTGCTCAAAAGAAAGTTGGATCATAGGAGATTCTGGAAGGCTTTTTGGATGTTTCAACCCTTCAACCTGCAGATCTGAAATCCCATTTTCACATAGCTTTTCAATCACCATGTCTTCACCACCATGTCTTTTCATAGCCCAGGCTGAGGTTTCTCACATGGTGACCCACTTCCAACCCGACCGACCCACTTCCGCCCCGCCTCGACCCCAACCCGACCGGGTTTGCCGATTCGACGCCCACAGCTGTCGCGGCCGCGGATGTGTGCGCGACACGTCGTTCGGCACCATGATGAACACGAGCCACGGATGCAGAAAGCCGATTTGGGCACAGCTCTTCACCCAATTCAGAGGCAATTTAGATGATGAACGGGTTGTGAAAGCACCTGATTTTTTCCCGAAAGCACCTGCGAAGCGTTCTCCGTAAAGAATCGAGTGGCAAACTTCAACTGTCCAACCATCATCGTCGTCGTCGTCGTCGTCGTCGTCGTCGTCGTCGTTCTCGACATCGTCATCATCGGCGTCGTCATTGTCATCATCTTTTTCTTTCTATACGCTCTGCATCCAGCAGATTGCGTGGACCATCCAAAACGACCAGTGGTCCCTCGCTCGTGTTCCGAAGAACCTGCACAGATCAGTCAAAACACATTGAATCTCTCTTGCTTGCTGCCGCTGGAAATCTCTAAACAAAAAGCAGGGCTGACAGGTGCAGACTCTCGATGTGCGTGCGCCCGCTCGCGCAGCGCCTCGCCCCGCTGCAGCTCTGGATGACATTCCACAAGGTCTCGATGCCAGTCAGCCCATGGAGTGGTTGAGGCGTGACTGTTAATATACTGACTATATATACTACTGTATTTTACCTTAGATTGTTAGCCATTTGTTCCTGAGTAGGTGAGTTGCAGAGTTTTGCAAATCAAGTTGGATGGTTGGGATGGTGCACAGTTCAGCTCCTCGAGGTGGTGGGCAGTGGCAGCTCTCTACCTGTGGAATAGTCATCATCATCATCATCATCATCATCATCATTGTTGCTGTGCTTCCGGGCCACACTGTCGTCTAGTTTTTGGTTTTTGCGGGGTGACAGGGTGCAGTCAACGGCTTTTTTTTGGAATTGTTTCCCTGCTGAAGCTCATGGAGAAACTGAAATGGTCAGGAAGAAAAACAAGAATTTGCACAAATTCACCACCAAATAGATCATCAGCTTTCCACTGGCAGGCAAAAGAAACTTATGGACTTTAAATTGACATTTTCCAGCATGGCACAACAGCAGGAGGCAGATTTGAGTGAGCAGAAGGAACCAAGGGAGGCAGGTTGGCCATGTCGGACTACTCCAGCAGCCAATCCATGCAGCTGGGGGATGCAGAGGATGCCGTTCTGGAAATTCAGGTGATGGGTGTAAGTGGAGAAGGCTTGCAGGTCCAAGTGCGCCAGTCCCTCACTTGTTCTGAGGTTCGAAAGGTCATTCGCGATAGACTTCCTTTGAAAGCTGGAGCAAGAGTCGTGGTGATGAAAGGATTCGAGAAGCTTTCGTTGAAGAAGACTTTGGTCCAAGAAGGTTTGGCGCAAGAGAAACCAGCCACTTTGTCCTACGCTTATGAGAAGGCACACTTGCAGGAGGCTTGGAGATGCATCCAAGATCACCCTGTGGAGGATGCGTCCATGGCTCTTGAGGGGATACTGCAGCTACAAGGGCTGAAGAAGCCAACACAGCTGAGGAACCTTGTCACGCTCAAAGAGCTTGCCTTTGCTTATGAGTTCAACGAGAGCCTGGAGGGATACGTTTTGCCTCACAGCCTCAACAGCTTGACATTTGGCCGAAATTTCAATCAGAGTTTGGAGGGAGTGGCTTGGCCCAGCAGCCTCCAGA